ATCCTGGTCCCAATTGTGGTCTTTATTGGAGGGAGACTTATTGTTCAGGTTTATAAGCTAAACACAGACTGTATGTCTGTACTTTAACATACAAACTATTTGCTTGACACTTCAAAAAAAGGTTAAAACTCTTGCCTAGATGCCTTAAAACATACTGTTTCTTACAATACATGATGCTTGTTATATGTATTGATGTTGGTTATTGATTTTGTATCTTACAGTTGCATCCTAGTAGTATTCACATAACAGCTGTCTTAGTTGAATACACCACACCCACGAATCGAACCAACCTAGGGGTCGCCACCAGTTGGTTGAAAGACAAAATTCCCAACGGACCAGAGAATGTCCCTAAAGTGCCGATCTACGTTCGAAAATCGCAGTTCAGGTTACCATTCAAACACACAACGCCGGTGATCATGGTCGGACCAGGCACTGGTCTGGCGCCATTCCGTGGATTCATCCAGGAAAGAAGTGCCAGCAAGCAAGACGGTGAGTGTATTATAATTTATTTAATTTAACTAGATTTATTCTTTGCAAGGCATTCAGCTAAGTTATTTGTTATAGTCACAGGTGGGCAAAGTACGGACCGCGGGCCACATGCGGCCCAGCAATTTTTTTGCGGCCCGCAAAAAATGAATTAAAAACCCTATTTGTGCAGCCCGCCCAGGGGTGGTGCTAGCGGGGGGCTGGGGGGCCAGAGTCCCCCTGTCGGGGAGAGCTGGCTTCCCTGTCAGAGAAAAAAAGCACAATTCGTCGGGGAGAAAGAAAAAATTATGTGTATTTTCTACGTATTAGTAGACTCTGAAATTGATTAAGTAAGCCTTTGAAACCCCAAATTGTTAAAATTTTCAGGGGGGCTTCGCACCCTGGACCGCTTTGAAAATGTTTTAATTGAAGCCCGACCACGCTCACTTTGCTTACGTCGTGGAAATTTTACCCCCTCGTTGGACAAATCTTGGCGCTACCCCTGGGCCCGCCAAGCAACATTGGCCAGAAAACACCTTGTTTTTTATGGCCCAACACCGATCATAATATGTAAAAAGAAAAAATAAAGCTGAGAATAAATTGGTGTAAAAGAAGTTCTTGGAAGCACACTGGAAACAACAAAGTTTGGGTACGGCCCTCAGCGTTTTTTATACCGCCCCCACCCTGTCTCTTATACACATCTAGATGTGTATAAGAGAGGTTATTTTCATATTCTATATTGTCAATGATTAAAGTTAAAATATGTTTGCAGAAATACGAGCAGTATAGAAGAAACTTGTATTGTGTACATTGTAATTTGTTAAGAGAAAAAAGTACAGACATGTTCGCATAAAAAGAAATAAGAACATTTGTATTTTTACTTTATAGAATGCAGTCTTTTGTAGGCTAATCAAACTCTGACAGGTCCTAGCATACCCTACAATTTACATTATGTTTCACCACTGCTCCACACGATTTCAAAATGTTCAGACAGTTCACATAGACCCATTGGCTAATAACTATCCCTTTTTTGTGTTGCAGGGAAGGAAGTTGGAGAAACTGTCCTGTTTTTCGGTTGCCGTAAGGAAGCAGAAGATTTTATCTATCAAGATGAGTTAAGTGAGTATGTGGACAATGGCACACTTACGCATATGTATGTGGCCTTCTCACGTGACCAAGCCCAGAAACGCTATGTACAAGATATAATGAAGGAGCAAGCTGATAAAATATGGGAATTACTGGAAAAGGGAGCACATATATATGTATGTGGGTAAGTAAATTGCAATAAATTAAACAGCATTTTATTTCTATGCCCCAAAAACTGTTGCAGTAAGAAGAATTATATTTGTACTATTGAAAAAAATACGAAGGAAAACTACTCAATAATTATTAGTCTTGGTTTCAGAACTACTTTTGGGATGAGTATTATTAGTGAATATGGCAATTTGTTGCTATGAAATAGCTTTAGAGTAAAGAATACAGAACTTCCATATTATACAATTATTGACAATAATTGAATTTTATTATAAAGTTATATTATAGGCTTAATGTATCTCCTTACAATTTTCCTGTATATAGTATATAGTTGTCTCAACATTTTTGTTAAACTCTCCACACCATCATATTTTCTTTGACAAAAAACTGTTGTATGCTCATATATAGTCATTATATGCCTATATATGGTTATGATGTGATGCCTTCATGACCATATTTAAGCATGTCACTTTTTTTGTCAAAATCTAAGTCTAAACAGGGATTTGGTCATGACTGCTACTGGAATAGGAAGTTCAGGATGTTGTGCCTAACATGGACTTGTGCTCAACTGTGACTAATCAGTGACACCTCACCAAGCATTAGGCATGGTATATTTATGTAAAGGCATAGATAGTTTGTTGCATTGAGCTGACTTTTGTATTTTTATTTAATGTAGTGATGCTCGTAACATGGCGCCGGATGTACAGAAGACAATTCGTGAAATTATCAGCGAGAAAGGTGGCCTAGCATCCGGGGCGGCTGATGACTACCTTAAGAAGATGCAGTCCAAGGGACGGTACTCATGCGACGTTTGGAGTTAATTCAGAGTGATGTTACATGTAATCTAAAATGAAGTTGTTATTTGTTATGCAGGAAATTGTTACTTTGTGAATCTCAAATTCGTTGGGACATGGTCAAATCTAAGATTTTCTAAACACCTGATATTTCGGGCCAGTATTAAAGTAGTACTGTATTCCCACAGTATGATATCACACTTGCATGTAACATACATTTAAATACCGACCATTGCATCTTGATATGAATCGTATGGTACAGGATAGCCAATAATTGGATGAAGAGCTGAGTATGTTTACACTTTCAACAAGCAGCATGGATGCTTGTTGGCCAGAACGATTGGTGTGAACACTTGGGAATATGACTTTTAACAGTTAGGCTGCACATGTAATATTCTGTGTTTTAACACATCTCAAGCATAATTATTAATAAAGAGAATGCGCATTACTGTATTATAATTTGGAACCTCTAATAATGTTTGACCAATTATACAACACTGTTTAATACTTGACAGATGAGAGAAAAAAAACAATATCCATTGGTGACATGATATATAACACCCAAACAGGGTATAGTGCTATCATGCAGGAAATAAATTAGCCATCTATGATTCTATAAAAGCAGTTTTCCTCTAGGTGAATTTATAGCCGTGACATAAAATGTTTCGTTGTGTAAAAATTAGTGCGATTATTTTCCAATACATGAACAAAAAGATTTGTGGTACACAGTTTCACAAACATTGTTTTCTGCGCTGCCGATTGCGAGTGTGTGTGACATTTATACGCGTACATAAAAAACTCTTTGAACAAAATTTGCCTAAGTAAAGACTGTGGTGAAGGACTTGCACATAAATATGAAACTGCGCATGCGTACATTCAAAAGCTTTCAATTTGCGCCGACACATTCGCCAAGTGGAAAACCAACTTTAGTTATGTAGCCTGAGTACTCATGTTGGTGGCTGGCTGTAATTAAAACAAATGGCATTATTCATTAGTGACTAAAATTTAATGATAATTTACTTGAAAATGAATTTAGTGTTATATATTTGTTTATTATTCAGTCACGTAATCAAGTAAACATAATTGTTTTTTTAATCAGATTTCAGTAGGTGTGAGTGAGCAAATTATATGTATTTTCAAATTATTTAATATTTGTGAATTGCATTTAAGATAATTTTTAGTTATCAAAAATAAGCAATTTCTTCCCTTATGTATCTGTCTCTTATACACATCTAGATGTGTATAAGAGACAGGTATATAGTTGTCTCAACATTTTTGTTAAACTCTCCACACCATCATATTTTCTTTGACAAAAAACTGTTGTATGCTCATATATAGTCATTATATGCCTATATATGGTTATGATGTGATGCCTTCATGACGTGTACATTAAAAGCTTTCAATTTGCGCCGACAAATTCGCCAAGTGGAAAACCAACTTTAGTTATGTAGCCTGAGTACTCATGTTGGTGGCTGGCTGTAATTAAAACAAATGGCATTATTCATTAGTGACTAAAATTTAATGATAATTTACTTAAAAATGAATTTAGTGTTATATATTTGTTTATTATTCAGTCACGTAATCAAGTAAACATAATTGTTTTTTTAATCAGATTTCAGTAGGTGTGAGTGAGCAAATTATATGTATTTTCAAATTATTTAATATTTGTGAATTGCATTTAAGATAATTTTTAGTTATCAAAAATAAGCAATTTCTTCCCTTATGTATAGTCCAGAATTATACTAGAATTTAGAGCATATTGTTAGCAATAAGAGATGTTTACTTACTTTATTAATGTTTTTTTATATTATTGATTTTTTAATAAAAATTATGGGATCATTATTTCAGGATGTGGATCATGTTGATACATTATGCTACGTTGTTTATTTTTTATATATAAATATATAAAATAGAAAATACCTATTCTGTATGGATTTCTTACTCCACTCAATCACTACCTGGTATGATATATGTAGGTTTAATGCAGTACTTTTTAAAGATGTATAATGTCTGCTTTAATTAATCCTGAAAGTATAGATTCAATATGGAAATTTGCTTTGTGATTTGCATTTATTATACCTGATTCACACAAGGGAGTAATAAGTTAAACATGTTCTCCCGTGCTAGACAAATTTTAGTATGTGGCCCTTGCTAAATTGTGCCATATGTCTATGATTGTAACCATGGCATACGTCACATGTAAAATCCATGTAAGAGAACTAGACAATGAAGATTCTCGGTAACACTCCCAAGGTATTTAGCATGAATCATTGTGCATTCTCATGAGTTGCAGCCTGTATTCACTTCGTGGTGTTGCTCGTATCTTTCTGCCTGTGTATAAACTGTGCTGACATTTACCAACGTTTTGTATATATTCATGTAAAGGCAATGTTAAAACCATAGCGAAAAGTCTAACTGTAGGAAGTGTGCCATGTAATATTTTATTTTGGGAATTTTATTAGTTGCCATTAATACCAAGTCACAAAGGATTGTATAATAAACATCTTAATTTATATGGCAAGAGATACATATTGAGCACCTAACAAAGGAACAAATTGCTTATTTAGATTTATTAAATTTAACAATTTTCAGTGAAATAAGAGATTAAAACAAGTCGGTTTTCAATCATTTACGACCTAAATCTCTGTGCAGACTATCAAGTTGTATTTGACAAAAACATGCGAGATGCCTAAATATGGTCAATGATGACATCACATCATGACCATATATAGGCACATCCTGACACTATATGGGTTTGTCAAAGAAAATTTGATAATCTTGTCCGAGCCTAAATCCTATGTCTATGCAAGAGAATACAGAAAATAATTATTGATAATACATAGATTCTAAGCATTTGATTGGTTAAGAAGCGGGTAATAGAAAGTACTATGATCACAGATGATGGTACCGGTACTAAAGAAGGAGACACAACCTTTACGAGAGAGATTGGCCCTTTGATTGCCTAGGCAGTAAGCCTAGCATTTTCATTAATTTTTGAGGTCTCATAGAATCTATTGTATTAGGTATATAAAACAAATATTGACTGCTCTCGATTCGGGGAACAGTGAAATCTATAGCCCCTCGGTGACTTGGAGACCGTTGCCTATCTTCCTGAGGGGTCTTCCCATCACCTTGGCAATATATCGCCATTCCCCTCATGAGCAGTCAAACTTAGTATATTTCATGAATTTTATTTTACTGCAATGATTGGCATTGTTGCCCAAGAAAGTACAGCCCAGGCATTAGAACATGACTTGTGTGTGGCAGTAGACTTGGTCTTATCTAAATGTATGGCTTGAACATTATGAAGACGTGCCTTAGGACGTATGCTAGTGATATTGGTTACTGTAATTGTAACCGTTCTTTTAACCCATTTTGATGTATTTTGTACCATGTTACCCAAAATAAACCTTTCCGCTAAGCCCCGCCCCTTGGATGTTGTTGCTAAGGTCCCACTAAACAATGGCGTAAGATGTACACAAACATGTGCGTTTATGAGGCAACGTGTATGCTTGTAAATCAAAAAGCCTGGTTCTCACAAGAGCATTAGTATCCGGATCAGGAGCTAACCGTTAGCGCTAACCGTTAGCACCTGTGTGAGAACGGTTTGCGGTATCCGGATACACTAACAGTTAGCAAGCGCTATCAAAGATCTTATAAACACAAGATAGCGATTTACGCTTAACAAATAGAAGCGTCAGTCAAGGTTCAAAAGTTTCCAATTTAGCAAGAGGGCGCCATTTATGCGCTATTATACCAGAGAGAAAGTAATCATTTTTGGAAGAGGGCGTCCTATCTGTTGCCATGGATCTAAGATGGTTCCTGTTCTGCTGTTCACAGGATTGATACCCTAAAGGTAAAGTCGCGCAGTGTACGGTATGGTCAGAGCGGTCAAGGGTCAAAAGTTTCCAATTTAGCAAGTAGGCGCCATTCATGCCGTATTACAGAATTTGCACGCGTAAATCGCGGAGAACGCTATCATGTGTTTATAAGATCTTTGTCGCTATCGGTTAGCAAGTTGAGGGCGTTTCTATCATCAACTAATCACACGTACGCGTTTACAATTTCCAGTTTCTTATTGGCCAGTGATTCGGTCATCATATTGTTGGTGTCTGGATTGGGATTTTCTCGCATGGACGCACGGCAGCTAACAGTTAGCAGGATCCGGATCCTACTAACCGTTAGCTGTCGTGTGAGAACATAGCCAAAGTGTTTGTGGGACCAGCGCCTATTCCCAACCTCTTCTTATTGGTCAGGTGTTAAGTTTGATTGACACATTGGAAAGGTCCATTTTTCTGAAGGTACGGTATATGAACTTGTATGTCTGAAATTTCGAAAAATCGAATTTGTGGAGTGTAGATAAAATTAAATATTAAAATGTGATAATAATAAATTACTGATAAATGTTTGAAGAATAAATTGAAAATTAATAATAATGTCCGAAGGTAGACACTTGTGTTGAATGAGAAAAACGTAGAAGTTGCTGGCGCATTGGTTGTGCTTGCACTCCAAACCTTGAGGGGGAGGTGGTGTTCGAAACTCTCGCTGTGCAACAAGTCGCTTTTGTCCTTAGGCAAGGCACTTTGTCTCTCTGCACCCAGGAGTACAAACTGGTGGGTTCCTGTTAGGTTTTAACACAACCATGATTACAGCTGCCAGGGGCGGATTTAGCGGGGGGCCGGCCCGGCCCCGGCCCCCCCTTTTGGGAGGTAAAAAAAGAAAAAAAAAAAAGAAAAAGAGAGAGAAAAAGAAAAAAATGATAGCCAGAATGCCTCAAATGTTATGTTCGGGCGTCTAGAACACAAAAATTTCGCGGGGGCATGCCCCGGACCCCCTACGACAGTGTTGTCTCAATCGGCCCAACTTTGGCCCCCCCTTCCGGCCCCCCCTTTTGGACATTTCTGGATCCGCCCCTGGCTGCAACATTATGGAATTCCCCCATAGGGACATGAGTGTGTGTTCCATATGTGCTTGATCCGGTGACCGGGGGTAATAATGTATATTATCTCTACAATATGCGCTGTATAAGTCGACAATTATTATTATTATTATTATTATTATTATTATTATTATTATTATTATTATTATTAATTAGAATGAATAAATGCAATCAATAATTAACAATTTAATGCCCATCAATTGCTATACGTTTTCATTTATACGGTATTTATTATTATACATTATCAAGATCTTATTTGTAATTATGTATTATCATACCTATGTACCTATGTTTATTTTGTTGCTAAGGTGCTACATAATGATTGCGTACATTACGTAAACTCATGCTTTTATGGGCCAGCACGTGTGAGTGTGGGACAAGTGCGTATTTCTAGCCCGATTGATTGTTCAGTTTGATTGACACTCCAGAAAGGTCCATCAGTCCTCATCTTTCGATATGTTGAATCACTTCCCATTTGTTGACACACTTCCCATCCGTCCATCTGATCATTCACCACATACCCAGTAGCTTACTTATTTACCTGTACACTTATCCGAAAGGTTCACTGATTAATCTCAGATAAGATAGTATAATACATACTCCAAGTATCGAAATGCACTCCATCGATTTCGATACTTGGAGTATGTATTATACGATCTTGTACACTTATCCATACAACATTTTAACTAGATCAGTCGCTCCTCCATAGATTATGCACCTCCACCGTGTGCTTGAATACCAACAACAAGCAGGCCGTGTATGACGGTCGTAACTACAGTTTCTTAACCCTTAAGAAAATAATTCGTATTCAGGTATATTATTTTCTTGAGTGTTGCCTGAACACTTTTATGCTCGATGGTAAATAATTTAATTTCCCTGACCTTGTCCTTGTCCTTTGACCCATTCGTCCGAAAAATTGAATGGTGTCTTTCTTTAATTATGAATGATGTACCATTCCACTAAAAATGTTATGATCCATTCATTAGTTTTTAGATTCATTTAGTATTTAGATTTATTAAATTTAACAATTTTCAGTGAAATAAGAGATTAAAACAAGTCGGTTTTCAATCATTTACGACCTAAATCTCTGTGCAGACTATCAAGTTGTATTTGACAAAAACATGCGAGATGCCTAAATATGGTCAATGATGACATCACATCATGACCATATATAGGCACATCCTGACACTATATGGGTTTGTCAAAGAAAATTTGATAATCTTGTCCGAGCCTAAATCCTATGTCTATGCAAGAGAATACAGAAAATAAT